ATAATTGTATTTTAAAGAATTAAAAGAATTGATAATTTAAACTCTTATGATGATATGAAATGTAACTTATATGCTTGAGATATTATATACTTGATTCATTTTATAATTGTGATGCTTTAATTATTTATTCAGACGTGAATATTGAGAATTTTTTGTGATAATCACATGAATAAATAATTTTATCATTAACTTATCCTAATTTGTATGGTACGTTAACATAAACTGTGATGAATGTATTGTTACACGTGAACAAATAATATTTTAGGTAGTCAGTCTCAACATTGAGCTATTGAGGAAACAGAGAGGAAGCATTACATTTGAGTTATTTTGTTTGAAAATAAAATATATAAGAAACTTATGAAATATGATAATGATTCTTTTAAAATACTTAGACATGTAATGTAAATAATATAATTATTTCCTTAAGTATTTTTAAATCTTATGTTTTTTTATGTAATTTTCATATATTACTCATATTTTATATTTATTTATTTATTTATCTTAAATTAAACATTAATCCTTTGTATTAAGATAAAAATCAATGTACACCAAGACAAGGATCAACTTTAGTAGTTATATTTTATATAAAAATAATATAAATTTGTAAATTTCATATATTTATACATATAAATATAAATATCTTTTATTTAATAAAAAATAATCACATTTTTAAATATATAATTAAATTAACAGTTAAAAAAAAGAACATCATAATTTTAAATTTGTATATATTTTTTTTGTTTATTATTTGTTCTCTTGTATTTTTTGCTTAAAAAACATGTAAGTGGAAGATTATATAAATGGGAGATTAAGGAAAAAAATTTCTTCGACAAATTTATATTTATGATAAATATAATTATATAAAAAAATATTTATTGTGACACTATATTTAGAACTATAATAATAAATAAAATTTATTTTGACGATTATTTTACTATTAACATAAAATATTTAAATAACTATGATAATTTTTTTTATATTAATTAGTATTGTATAATAGAATTTTAGTAATACTTCATATGTACGAATACTGACCGGTGATATATAGTTTTGATTTAATTTAAAAATTAAAATAAACTAAATTAATGATTTAATTTGAATTTATTATTATTATTATTATTATTATTATTATTATTATTATTATTATATCTATACAAATATTTTATTCTCTTATATTAATATAATAATATATAAAATAAATATAAAATTTCAAGTAAAATCAAAATAATTTACTATTTAAAATTTTTTAATTAAAAGTTTATAAATAGACTTATTTATTCTTTACATATTATATCATTTTAAAAATATTTGCTCCTTTTCTTTATATTATCTCAATTATTATAATATATTTGTAAGTGATCTTCAAAATGTCTTTGAAAATCAATCTTTTTGTTTTTTCCAATATTTAAAGTAATAGATCCAAAGCAGTATTCAGGTTAATGTGTTTGAATTTATTTATTATTATTATTTTTCTGTAAAAATAATTATAAAATTATTATTGTTCAAAAAGAATTATAAAAAAATTGTAATTTTTCAAGAAAATGCTATTAAAGATTTCATGATAAAAAGTTATTAAATAGAAAGATATATAATTATTATTTATTTAAAATTTTAATTTCTTCTTAAATTTTACAAATATTTATATAAAATAATAGATAACTGAAACTTTGAATACGTAATTAATCTTGAACTACAATTCACGGACTAAATTCAATCACATTAGACAGATAAAAGATAAAAATATAATATAAAATTATTACTATGTTTTAATAAATAGAAATAATTTTTTTTCCTAAAAATAACCAAGGAAGTACTTATTTTGAGAATTTTTCATATGGCAGTTATTATGGAATAGAAAGTAAAATTTTAAAATAATATTTTTATTGCGAGTTAACTATGTAGCACAGAGAATTAAATTAGTATTTATTGACGGGTTACAATAATTTTATTTTCATATATAAATTTTTTACATATATTTTTTAAATTTATCTTTAATTGAATAAATAATTTTTGAATTGTTATTTATTAATAAATATTTTTATTAAAAAAATTAAAAATTATTATATTTATCTATTAAAAAATAATTAATTATAATCAATAATTTAATTTTAATTAGTTAATTTTTAAAAATTAAATTATAATATTATAATATATTTATATATTTTAATAATTTAACATAAAAAAATATAAGGAATATAATGTACAAAAATATACCCTTCCTATTAGTCATGTCTTTTTATAATTGTCCAAAAACAGGTGGCCACGTGAATCTAAAACAACCTTCTAGTCAAAATATTTTTTTAATAAATAATACATTCTAAACTTATATATATATATATATATATATATATATATATCACTCTTCTAAATACAAATCATAAAAGTAAAACAAATAAAATAAAATTGTAAAACACGCTTAACAATAAGAATAATAGCGGACCCAAATAGGTCATCTCAGGAAACGACACAGAGTAAGAAAGCGTCATGAATATCGATACACACAAATGCATAACAAATAAATGTATTAATTATATTTTTTTATATTAAGCAGTAATACAACTTCAAAAAGATTAAATTTTTCTATTTTTTAAATTAGAATTAAATAATTGAGTTATATTCATTATAATAAATGAAGATAAATTTAATTAAAATTATTTTTTAAATATTATTTATTAGTTTATATATTCATTTAAAAACAAGTAATTATGTTTTCAAACTAATACTTAATAAATTTAGATTTATAAATTAAATAAAAATGTATGGATAAATTTCTAAATTATTTTGTCAAATGTAAAATTATTTTGAAAGGAATATATATATATATATATATATATATATATATATATATATATTAAAATTTGTATAAAATTTTCTGCAATTTTTTTACAAATTAAATCACTATAAAATTTATTTATGTATACAAATTCTGTAAGAAAAATTATCTCCGAATTTAAGTTTTGTAGGAAGGTTTCATAGAAAATTTTAAATTTGTAGAAAAAGTTTTTTGGGAATTTTAAATTTAGAAAATATTATATCTTTCATTATAAAAAAAAACCATAGCATTAATCACTTTTTGACTTTTTATTTTCTATACAAAAGAACATAACCTTAATTTTTATTTTTATTTTCACCTGTTTCTATTTTTTAATTCAAATGGGTCTTATTCCTTCGGAGTTAAAAAAAATATAGTAATAATATGGTGAATTTCTTTAAATAGTAAGTAGTTTTTAGTTATTAAAGATATTAGTCTAAACAGTGTATTGTTTTTACCTTTCTTAGTCTAAAGAGGATAGTGATACTCCCGTAATACTTTCCACTCTATATTATATACTTATTTCATTATACTAGGTACAACTTTAGTATATTATCTTATATGATTCTAACAGAGATAAAGTTTCCTTACAAAATTTTTTTAGTTAAAATATTTCTTTTTAGCTTCGTACTTTTCTTTAATTGATATACAAAGTGGATATCATCCTAGATATTGGAAATTTGTAAGTTTAATAATCATTTTGTTGATATTTTTAGAAAATCTTATCGATTTATTTTTAGTTATATTTCTAGATTCATAATCTTTCAAAAATACCTATTTTAATAATTCTTTTAAAAAAATTGCACTCCTTATAATGTTTTTCTCACGTCACCCAAAAGGCAACATAAGTTGTTAGGAATGACAATTAGATAAGTGGGACCGATCTATCCTTGATGAAAAAAATTGAATTGATTAGGGGTAGAGTTGTTTCAGGTTTTGTCTCTTTTAAAATGTTAGAAAAAAATGGGAGCTGATATAATGCAATTTCTATTTTCGTGTTAATTTTTTTTATTTAAATTTAAGTTTTAAAATATTAATATTTTAAAAATATTTTCTTTTTTTATTATATAAGATCATTTTTTATATTTTATAATTTTTATTTTTCTTCTACCTATTTTTAATTTTTTTATATTTTTAATTTTTTATATCAATTAGTTTATTACATTATTTTCTTTCTCTTACCGTTTAGTTTTTTATATTTTTTTAATATTTTTAATCAATTTTTTTCAACCTTTTCAACCAATTTGATGAATACAAAGTTAATTTTTTTCTTTTTTATCTTTTCTCTACATATTTTACATAAATTTTAGTAATAACTAATATTATTTTATTTATAATTTATATTTATTAAAAATTATTATTCTTATTTGTTATATATCAAATTTTATCTTAATAAAATAATTATATTTTAAAAAATTAAAAAAATTGATAATTTAAACTTTTATTACTTCGAATTAATTAAATAATAATTAACTTATTAAATATTTTCTTATAAATTAAATATTTTATATTTTTAAATAATAACTTAAAAATAAATTAATTTATATATGTAATCAAATATTTGAATATAATATTATATTAATAATAATAATATAAAGATTTAAATATTTGAATATAATATAATAATAATATAATATAATATAATATAATAATAATAATAATAATAATATTATTATTATAAATATTTTATATTTATATAAAGAAAAAATAATTAAATATTCATTTTACATGTATATTTTAATATAAATATAATAAATTAAAATATATATTTAATTAATAATAATTATAAATTGTAAAATTAAAAATATTTATTTATATATAAAAAATATATTAAAATAATAAAATTCATTTATTATAAATATAATTAATTTTTTAAAAATAAAATAGATCCAGTACGGATGATATCTGAGAAATAAAAAAAATAAAAATAAAAATTTAATTTCTAAGTCGGACCAAAATTTAAAACGAAGAAGGAAATGATTAAAATAAGTGGGACGAAAATTAAAAACAATGAGGGGAATGGTTAAAAAATGTCGGAATAGTCATCCGGAAGGTCCCGTGCGGTGTTGCCATCACTATCAGTGCGTCTATAAATAGTTTTTTCTCTTATTCACGATTCAAATCAAATTATATCTCTTATCTCTTATTTCTTATTAGTTGCTACATTCATTCGAAAGCTTTGGACAACATGAAAATCCACGAGCAATGCGTTGTTGCCCCTCCTCCATCAGCCACCCAAACATCCATCACTCTCACTTTCTTTGATTTATTTTGGCTCAGGCTCCGTCCATATGAGCTCACATTCTTCTATTCCCTCCCTCCTCCACACTCAGAGCCTTCTTTTTTCTTTGCCAACGTCGTTCCAAAGCTCAAAACCTCTCTCTCTCACACCCTCCATTACTTCCTCCCTCTCGCTGGAAACATCGTTTGGCCTTCCGATTCCCCAAAACCCATCGTCCAATTCACACCTGGTAATGGTGTTTCCGTGGTGGTTACTGAGTCCGATGCTGAATTCAATCACGAGATAGACTACTCACCCCGTGAAGCTGCACGCTCTCATCCTTTGGCACCCCACTTGCACTCGTCGGATTCTCTTGCTTCTGTTGTGTCTTTTCAGATCACTCTATTTCCTAACAAAGGATTCAGCATTAGCATGAGCATCAATCATGCTGTCCTTGATGGAAAATCTGCAGCTATGTTCATCAAGGCCTGGGCTTTTCTATGCCGAAGCCAGACCAACAATGAAACACAAATACCATCTTTGGTGCCAGAATTGGAGCCTTCCTTTGACAGAACCCTCATCAAAGAACCAGACTTCACCGAAACTTTGACAGGCTTCTTATTAAAAAGATTCCCTCAAGAAAACAGAGACCCGCGATGCTTGAAGATTATACCTTCCTCACCAGTACCTAAAGACGCGATTCGAGCCAAGTTCGTTCTCACACGACGGGATTTGGAGAAGATAAAGAGAAGGGTCTTGCTCAAGTGGGATGTAGTGGAAGAATCAAAATCAACCGTCTTTTCAAAGCCTCCTACTTTATCTTCCTTTGTTGTCACCTGTGCTTATGTGACAGTTTGCATTGCAAAAGCCGTGCATGGAATTGACAGGGAGAAACAAAAGTTTGCTTTTGAGTTCGCGGCTGATTGGAGGTCCAGGTTAGAGCCTCGACTCCCTGATAACTATTGTGGAAACTGTGTGTGGAACAGTTTGGTGAATGCAGATCCGTCAGACTATATTAAGGAAGAAGGGGTGGTGATTGTTGCTAAGCACATTCATAGAAAGGTAAAGATGTTAGAAAAGGGGGCAGCTTTTGAAAGGTTTTCTCAAATCATGGATTTGTTAAGGAAGGGGGATGTACAAATGATTGGAGCAGCAATGTCTAACCGATTTGGAGTTTATGATACTGATTTTGGTTGGGGAAAGCCCGCTAAGGTGGAGATGACATCGATGGAGCAAAATAAAACTCCACGCATTGGGTTGGCAGAGACCAAGGATGGGAGTGGTGGGGTTGAAGTTGAGCTGGTTATTATGAACAAACATGTGATGGATCTGTTTGCTACTTTGTTTCGTGAAGGACTGTGTGATGATGATTGATGGATTGGGAGCTCTGATTTCAATAAGGATAATTTTGATTATGTGTGAGTGTGAGGAATAAGCGTACGCAAAAATGTTTTCTGTCAGGAATTTGCTGCCGCTGCTTTGCTTTGAGTATCATCTGAAATGCATTTTGTATATGCATTACTTCAATATCTCTTCATCAATAAATTCCTTTTCTTTCTTTAGGGTGACTCAATGACAAGATTTAAAATAAATTAAATTAACATAATATAATATAAATCGGCATTAAATTCCGACTCCATGCAACACATTTTAACAATCGAACTTCCAATGTTTATATAACAAAGAATGTATAAACCTAATCAAATATGCCTTTTTTCTAATTAGAATTGATTTACCTAACTACTTACTTCAAATATAATGAGTATTAATTTCAACTTTGAGAAGTTCGATAATCAGAAAGTTAATCATCCTAGTAATATGTGTTCACTCTTCACTGGTCTTCGAGACATTTGCTGTGATATGGTTCTCTCTTTTAGATATTAACCTATATATCTTATCAATTTTTCTTACTATGTATTTGGTAGGAAGGTGTTATTTGTAAAGTTAAGTTTTTCATGCATGAAAATAAGAATTTTCCTTTCCTTTCCATTTTTTTTAAACCAATACATTATTACAATTAGTGGACATCAAGATTTTATCAAAATTTATTGGGTGATAATGAAATTCAAAATCATAATTTTTCAAGAACTTTATCAACCTTCTTTATTCCATATTTAACTTTTTTTTAATCAAACAAGTATTTAATACTCTTATGATCATTAAAAATCTCAAATTTATCATCATACACATAATGCGAAAACAATGTCAACTAGTTTTAGATAATGGGTTGGGTAATTTTTTCCATGTGCTCTTAATTGCCTATAAACATATGCTACTATATTGTTCTATTGCATAAGAATACATCTTAATCACATTTTGAAAACATCACAAAATATCACAAAGTGTCTAATAAAATTAGATAATACTAACATAGGGAAAGTGATTAATATTTTCTTGAGTTCATGAAAACTATTCTCACTTTTTTTGTTTATTAAAAAATTTGACCTTTATTGGTTAGTGGAGTTAAAGACATAATTATTAAAAAAAAAAAATCAATGAATCTTCTATAATATCTTGTTAAACCCAGAAAATTACGAATCTCAATTACTATTTCTGGTGGATCTCATTGTAAAATTGTTTCTACTTTAGTTAAGTCCACTAATACTCATTCTTTAGAAATCATGTGTCCCAAGAATTTCATTTTTTCTAACCAAAATTCACACTTAGATAATTTAACATATAACTATTTGTCTTTCAAAATTTGAAGTACAGTTCAAAGATGCTCCTCATGGTCCTCAAAGGTTTTAGGATAAATAAGAATGTAATCTATAAAAGTATTTACAAAATGATCTAAAAATGCAAGAAAAATTATGTTCATATAATCTATTAATACTGCAAGAATTAGTCACTCTAAAAGACATCACTTAATGTTCATAATGACCATATATGGTTTTAAATGCAGAGTTTTTTTGTATGTCTTCTGTCTTTACTCTAATCTGATGATTTTTTGGCCTTAAAGATATTTTAGAAAACACATAGGCTTCTCTTAATTGATCCATCAAACCATCTATTTTAGGAAGAGGGTATTTATTTTTGTATAGAGGATTTATTTAACATGGTGATCATTTACATACAACCTAAAATTTTCATCTTTCTTCTTAATAACAAAGCAGGGACTCCCCACTTTAATATTATTAAATTCTTAATTTAATTACTTCCTTTACTTCCAATTTCTACCTTAAAATATATAATTAATTTCCTGGGTCTTACACACTACAAGAAAATCACATATTTCCGACGGATTTTTACCGACGAATTTGTAGCCAGTCAAAAAATGAGTCATTATCGACTGAAAATTACCGACGGATATAAAACATTTGTGGAAATTGGTCTTACCGACGGATATATCCGTCAGTAAATTAATAATTAGTTACCGACAGATATATCCGTCGGTAAATCTATCGATAAATTAACAATTAATTACCAATGGATATATCCGTCGATAAATCCGTCGGTAAATTAACAATTAGTTATCGACAAATATATCCGATCAGTAAAATTATATAATAATTACTTAATTTTAAATATATTCTAATAAATTAATTATTCACCTAATTAAAAAATTAAATATTTTTTATTTAATAATTTAATTTAATCATAATTAGATTAATTTATAATAATTTATTAAATTAAATAAATTTAAAAAATAAATATTTAATTATATATAAATATATTAAAATATAAAAATATATAAATATATAAATATATTATATTTATATATTTACATGGATATACATTTTTTTGTATATAAATATAATTTTTTTGTAAATTATTATTAAAAAATTCTAGTAGCTTAGTGGTTGGATTATTAACCTCCAACTCTAAGGTATAATAATGCAAAGTTATAAAATTATAAAGGGCAGGGGATCTCTAAAAGGATAGAATGCAATAAATAATAAAAATATGGGGATATTTTTTTTCATAAAAGAATTTCACTGCACCCTTTCAAGTAGTTTTGAATAATATTGTAACATTTTTCGAATTTAGTTTCGTAGTTATCCCATTGAGAAATTTATACAATTTTTTGTGTTGGGGAAAATTCTTAGTAAAAAAATTTCACTGCACTCGTTTAGGTTCTATAATTTATTTGCTTTCTTTGTAGTAATAATTTTACATTTTTGGAACTCAGTTTTTGTAGTTACACTAGTAAGAAATTTCCGCAATTTTTTGTACTCGGGTAAAGACATTCCACTACAGACCTTTCAAACTCAATTTTTTATTTTTCTAGTAGTTTTGTGTTGGAGAATTTTTGTAATAAAAAAAATTCACTACAATCTTTCAAGCTCATTTTTTTATTTTTCTATTTGTTTTGAGTAATGTTTTTACATTTTAGGATTTTAGTTTTCGCAATCACACCGATGAGAAATTCGTACAATTTTTGGTTTCTGGGAATTTTGTTTTTTTAAGGAGTTTCTTTGGGAAATTGTTTTAGTAAAAAAAATTCCACTGTGGTGTTTCAAGTTCATTTTTTTTATTCTTCTATTTTTTTGAGTAATATTCTTGATTTTCAGTAATTTAGTTTTCGTAATTATTCAAGTTAGAAATTTCTACAATTTTTGTGTGTTGGGGATATATTTTTTCATAAAAAAATTCTACTGCACTCTTTCAAGTAGTTTCAAGTAATATTGTAACATTTTTCGAATTTAGTTTCGTAGTTACCCCATTGAGAAATTTATACAAATTTTTGTGTTAGGGAAAATTCTTAGTAAAAAAATTCCACTGCACTCTTTTAGGCTCTATAATTTATTTGCTTTCTTTGTAGTAATAAATTTACTTTTTTGGAACTTAGTTTTTGTAGTTACACCAATAAGAAATATCTGCAATTTTTTGTGCTAGGTAAAGACATTCCACTACAGCCTTTCAAGCTAAGTTTTTTATTTTTCTAGTAGTTTTGTGTCGGGGAATTTTTGTAATAAAAAAAATTCCACTACACTCTTTCAAGCTCATTTATTTATTTTCCTATTTGTTTTGAGTAATTTTTTTAAATTTTAGGATTTTAGTTTTCGCAGTCACACAGGTGAGAAATTCGTACAATTTTTTGTGTGGGGGAATTTTGTTTTTTTGTCTAGGAGTTTCTCAGGGAAATTGTTTTAATAAAAAAATTCCACTGTGGTGTTTTAAGCACATTTTTTTATTCTTCTATTTGTTTTGAGTAATATTCTTGCTTTTTAGGAATATAGTTTTCGTAATTACTCTAGTTAGAAATTTTTACAATTTTTTTTATTGGGGATATGTTTTTTCATAAAAAATTCCACTGCACTCTTTCAAGTAGTTTTGAGTAATATTGAAACATTTTTCGAATTTATTTTCGTAGTTACCCTATTGAGAAATTTATACAATTTTTTGTGTTGGGGAAAATTCTTAGTAAAAAAATTTCACTGCACTCTTTTAGGCTCTATAATTTATTTGCTTTCTTTGTAGTAATAATTTTACATTTTTGGAACTCAATTTTTGTAGTTACACCAGTAAGAAATCTCTGCAATATTTTGTGTTGGGTAAAGACATTCCACTATAACCTTTCAAGCTCAATTTTTTATTTTTCTAGTAGTTTTGTGATGGAAAATTTTTGTAATAAAAAATTTTTTACTACACTCTTTGAAGCTCATTTTTTATTTTACTATAGGTTTTGAGTAATGTTTTTACATTTTAGGATTTTAGTTTTCGCAGTCACATCAGTGAGAAATTCGTACAATTTTTTGTGTCGGAAAATTTTGGTGTTTTTCGAGGAGTTTCTCTAGGAAACTTTTTTAGTAAAAAAAATTCAACTATTGTATTTCAAGCTCATTTTTTTTTATTTTCTATTTGTTTTGAGTAATATTCTTGCTTTTCACGAAGTTAGTTTTCGTAATTACTCCAGTTAGAAATTTCTACAATTTTTTTGTATTGGAGATATTTTTTTTCATAAAAAACTTCCACTACACTCTTTCAAGTAATTTTGAGTAATATTGTAACATTTTTTGAATTTAATTTCGTAGTTACCCCATTCAGAAATTTATACAATTTTTTGTGTTGGGGAAAATTCTTAGTAAAAAAATTTCACTGCACTCTTTTAGGCTCTATAATTTATTTGCTTTCTTTGTAGTAATAATTTTACATTTTTGGAACTCAGTTTTTGTAGTTACACCAGTAAGAAATCTCTGCAATTTTTTGTACTGGGTAAAGACATTCCAATATAGTCTTTCAAGCTCAATTTTTTATTTTTCTAGTAATTTTGTGTCGGGGAATTTTTGTAATAAAAAACATTTCACTACACTCTTTCAAGCTCATTTGTTTATTTTCCTATTTGTTTTGAGTAATTTTTTTACATTTTAGGATTTTAGATTTTGCAGTCACACCGGTGAGAAATTTGAACAATTTTTTGTGTGGGGAAATTT